CCAATTCTTTCCTGGGTCCCCTCCGAGGGGATATCAAGAGTCTAGGCTGGGACCCCTGCTCCCCACTTCAACTCCCATCACCACAGCCAGTAAAGCCTCAGTCAGGGGACCTGCTTCCTCGCCTGCTGCCTCCACCAGCTCCACTAAGGCCAGAGCCCGCTTCCGTGTGCACTGCCCTGGCCCCAGGACCCAGCGCGCACAGTGGACAGCCATCCGGGGCCGGCCCAGGCGGAGTATCTCACCCATGGACTCTAGGCTACCTTGGGATCCCAGGTGGATACGGCCCAGAGCCTCTTCCAGTTCCTCCTCCAGCCCAGGCAGCAGGAAACGGCCTGCAGCCTCCAGTGCCTCCTCCGCCTCTGAGCCCAGCAGGGGCTGGCCTGGAGGGGGAATGGGCCCCAGGGCTGCCCCACAGCCCCGGCAACCATGCAGGTGATGCATGACTGGCCAGGCTGCGCTGGGTGATAGGTCTCGAAGAGGTACCAGGTCCATCTGGGCTTCAGCAAAGCTGCCAGCTAGCAGGGCCTGGAAGAAAGGGGAGGCAGTAGATGAGGCAGCTCGCTGGGCGGGGAGCCGGAGGCCTGAGTCCAGGAGGAAGTGCAGATCCGGGGCTGGGATGGGAGCTGGGCCCAGCAGCGGTTCATAGTGGCAAGGGGAGGGCGGGTCTCGGTCCAAGGGGGGGGCAGGTGGAGCTGGGCCCAGCAGAGGTTCATAGTGGCAAGGGGAGGGCGCATCTATGTCCCAGGGGCTTGCGGGGGGGCGAGGCGGGGCTCACCGTGGGAGATGCCAGGCGGTGGAGGCAGGAAAGGGAGTCTGCAGCAAAGAAGAGGAAGAGTGGGTGCGGGGCTGGCCGCGTCAGCGCCGACAGGAGGAGTCGGAGGCCGCCCTGGTCCAGAAGCAGCCGGCGCCACAGAGAGGGCTTCCTATGGGGAGAAAGAGCATCTTTCAGAAGGGGGAAAGGTGCGACTGGGCCAGAGCTGCCTGGCTCCCCTGACCCCTGCAAGGCACCCCCATCCTCCTCACCGACAGATGAAGGGCAAGGTCAGCGCACAGGCCACCCGGTCCTCAGGACTCCCGGAGAGCAGCAGGTGCGTGAGGGCGCCCACGCCGAAGGGCGACTCCGCCTGCACCGTCAGGTTCTGCAGCAGCATGTCACCTGCAGGGGCAGGCAGAGTGGGTCAGGGTGGGAGCTGGTTCCAAGATTGGGGCGGGAGGGGCAGCATGGGCTTCCGGGCCCCCGAAAGGAAGGTGGGTAAAACCTCAGGGCAAGACACCAGGGAATGGAAAGGAGGCTGCCGCAGGCCCTGGAGGGATGGGGCCCAGAGACTAGGAAGTGGAAGTGAGGGCAGGACCAGGAAGTGGGAGGGCAGGGAGGAAGCCGGGGCCCTCAGGGCTGAGACCAGGCCCAGGAGACAGGGCAGCCCCTGGTAGTGCTGGATACGGGGGTCGGGCCTGAAAGGACATGGCGCCTGAGCAGGACTCACAAGTCAGTGACACCACCGAACTGAGAGTAGATTAGGGAAGGACATGCCAACAGGTACAGTTCTAAATTGTGGTGCCCCAAAGCCTGGGCCAGGTATGGAGCAGGACTCTGCAGGCTGGGATGGTGGAGCAGGATGGGGCAGATGGTGGGCTGAGGGCAGTGAGGGACCGAGGGGTGGTAAGGCAAGGTTCAGGGCTCACTGAAGGATAAGTGGAAGACAGAGCACAAAGGGGCAGGGACATACCCAGCTCCCGGTGCTGGCTGCGCAGACTGGGGGGCCGGGCACGCAGCGTGGGCCAGTCTTCAGGGGCGACACCCAGCACCAGCCAGGCTCGCAGCAGCGCGGCCCCATAGCTGCACACGAAGGCCTCGAGGCAGGCAGGGTTGCAGGTGAGGCGCGCCAGGATGCGCAGTGCCGGTGAGCCCGGCGCCCTCGGCACGTAGGCCAGCAGGCCGCCCAGGACCGGGCCTGTCACCAGCGCTCCGCTTGGGTCTGGCGCCCGGGAGAAGTGTGAAAGCAGCAGCAGCGCTGGCCCCTCGCGGCCCCAAGACTCCTCGGTGGCAGGGCTGCGGCCTCGAGGCGTCTGCACTAGGGCTGGGCCGCGGGCGGGACTGGCCGCCTGGGCCTGCTCAGGGGGCGCCGGCGGTGGAGGAGGCCGTGGACAGTGCTCTGGAGACCGGTCCGGAGAGATGTCTTCGGGGCCTGCGGCGTAGCCCTCAGATATCAGCCACG